TAACTGATAATAGAGGTGAATAAAACAAACACAAATTTTGCAAGCCACATACAAATCAATGAGTGTCATTCTCTTTGCAATTACCTTGCTGCATTTAACTGCTTCCCTTTCTCTAGAGGGCCCAGCTCGGCCGTATTCAAATTGTTCGAAAATTGTGTCGACACCGACTGGCAAAACAGAACCTTTAATATTTGAAGTAAAGACAGAATCAAGCGTACGTATATATTAATGCGCAATCATTTTATTTGTTTTTATTTTCAGAGACTCATTGTCCTAAATAAAATAACACAGACTTTTGATATAAATATACAAAACGACCGTTGTTATGCCAATGGCGAATCGATCGGAGAACCGTGTACTAAACATATTGGTAATATTATTTTCTTAGATTTTACAACTAACCTTTTCATCTTAATCATAGATTACCTAAATATAACAATTGACGATGTTACAAGATTCGATGAACTTCGTGTCCTAACAAAGGACCGCGTATGTATCGTCAAATTTGTTCCGAAATGTCAATTCAATTCTGTTTTACCAGGTGAGATATGCAAAAATTGAATTAGCAAGTTGCTATGGGCTAATAAATTTTAAATACCAGTGACTTCGAATTTTGCGTTATTTGCAGGATATTTTATGCCCCAAGTGTCCTTTCCGTTTGCTAGATTTGAGAAAGGACAGAGGTCTGTTAAAATAAACCTTTCTATCAAGGGAAGAAGTTCCGTTGTCGGAGTGAGTTTATTTTCATTTAAATAAACAAAATTTCTTTAAAAATTTATTGCTATGAATAGTGATTTGAATTAATTAATTTTTCATTGTAAGAANATTCTCTTTGCAATTACCTTGCTGCATTTAACTGCTTCCCTTTCTCTAGAGGGCCCAGCTCGGCCGTATTCAAATTGTTCGAAAATTGTGTCGACACCGACTGGCAAAACAGAACCTTTAATATTTGAAGTAAAGACAGAATCAAGCGTACGTATATATTAATGCGCAATCATTTTATTTGTTTTTATTTTCAGAGACTCATTGTCCTAAATAAAATAACACAGACTTTTGATATAAATATACAAAACGACCGTTGTTATGCCAATGGCGAATCGATCGGAGAACCGTGTACTAAACATATTGGTAATATTATTTTCTTAGATTTTACAACTAACCTTTTCATCTTAATCATAGATTACCTAAATATAACAATTGACGATGTTACAAGATTCGATGAACTTCGTGTCCTAACAAAGGACCGCGTATGTATCGTCAAATTTGTTCCGAAATGTCAATTCAATTCTGTTTTACCAGGTGAGATATGCAAAAATTGAATTAGCAAGTTGCTATGGGCTAATAAATTTTAAATACCAGTGACTTCGAATTTTGCGTTATTTGCAGGATATTTTATGCCCCAAGTGTCCTTTCCGTTTGCTAGATTTGAGAAAGGACAGAGGTCTGTTAAAATAAACCTTTCTATCAAGGGAAGAAGTTCCGTTGTCGGAGTGAGTTTATTTTCATTTAAATAAACAAAATTTCTTTAAAAATTTATTGCTATGAATAGTGATTTGAATTAATTAATTTTTCATTGTAAGAAAATAGTGAGAAATCAATGTGCTTATTAACAATATAATTAATTAACTTGCGCTTCAAATTACATTGCCTTACATAATAATTTTGATCTTCTAATACAAATAATGAATTTCATACATTTTTTCGTGCTTTTAGTGAAAATTTCAACTGATTTATTAAATTATGATATAAAGAAACAGCTTTAAATTTGGTTATATAATCATAATTATTCTTTTCATTAAGATAAGTCTACAGAAGAACGGCATGCCTTTTTGTGAATGGAAGGGCAATATTGTTGAACAGCATATGTCTCAAGGCAATTGTAGTGAGTCTTATTCAATCTCATTAGCCATGTATTTCAAGCTAATATAAACACAAGATTTTGTTTCTTAAGAAAACTTTACTGAAAATGCGGAAAAGGATCGGTTGGATTCCACATTTGAGTATCATCGAGCTGGAAAGGAAACTAGAACGAATTTCTTTTTCATATCCACACCACATATCAATAGCTCATTTTTATCAATCAGTGTCTACTGGGAGATAGGTGGTATGCCAATTTTGCATTATCATTACATATGCTATTTGATTTGTCTCAAAGCATGTGTTCTATCTAGGTACGTCATCTGACATACTGGAATGTGAAAGTAAGTTATCCTTTGTTTGATGCAATTTTGAGCATGCAAAATGCTATACCAATTCGCTATTTAGTTTCTAAACAATCTCATTTTTATTATATATCATGAAATAATAAAACGTTATAAAATTGAATTGATAAACCAAAGACGTTGTTCAATTTGAAGAATGTTAATTTTTCCCTAATTTAATAAATCGACGTAATTGTGAGGGAAATCGAGGCATTTATTTTGCGTTTTATTAAGTACTGAATTTCTTCAATTAATTTAAAATTTATAATGGTTAATTTTATGCAATTATGTGAATATACGAATATATATAAAAAATTAGAATTTATTTTGACGTCAATGCTAGAAAAGCAAAAGTAACAGAATGCATGAATATTTTAACAATATTTCTGAGCAATAAATGAATTATATATCACCAGTTCAATATTTTAATGGAGTGAATATAAAAATACGCATTTCTAAATTGAATTTATTTCACAATATCAAATCTTTCAAAGATATTTATTAAATTAATCTTCATTTGGAAATCAAAAAATGGTATAATCTTGTGACTACTAAGTTAAATATATGTGATGGTGAGAAATTGTTAATTGAACAGGAGATTCGTAATATATGATAATATATTTGGCGTCTTTCAGAGTATGAACAATTAAAAACTACAAGCCACGGTGAGTCTGCATGATTAAAACGGGACGTCATGCATTTTAGAGCAGTTTAAACGTAATTTCAGAGCAATATTCAAGTCATTAGTAATTATTGAACAACTATGTTTATTCATGATTTTATCACAACTGATTGAAAATCGACAATAACTTGATCTTAAAAAATTGTTGGAAAATATTTTATGGAGGTAAATTGTGGATTATACAGAAGAACCGTGTTGTGAGTCTAAAATGATGCAAACTTCTAGATTAGGAAAAAGCAATAACAACGAGCATAGGTAAATATGAATGATAAATAATCACAACGCAGTTTAAAGCGCTGTTTGATTCGCTATATGTCTTTAATGCAGAATGGTATATTGGCGTTTGGTAGCTACTTAGTAGTCCCTCATCTGGATTTCTGCTACAATTCGTCATAGTTTAGTATCTAAACCAAACTTCAGAAGCTTAAATATATTAAATTGAGTTCATTTAGAGCAATATTGACATTCATGTTTTTTTATAGGTTGCCAAGTTGCATATATATTCTCAAGCAAGTTATTTTATTATAAATAAATTTATTATCGAATTTTATTTTCTTATTTCAAAACCGCTAATGATTACATTTACTTTCTTCAGTTGCTTTTGGGGTATCTCAATGGATTTTGCAATGAATACTGCAAAGCTTAAAGAGAATTACCACTTTAATTTTCATTAAAAATTTGATACTAATTAGTCAGAAGCCTATTTTTTCAATAACTCGAAATTATAAAAAATTCCCTTAAATATAAACTAATTATCAAATCCATATTTAATTCAAATTCATTGTGGCATTCGAAATTACAAGTATTCTCATCCGTACATCTTTCTGTAAAAGCTTAATAATTGACCCAGACACTAAAAGACGCTAAAAAGTTTTTCTCTCGGAAACGTCTTTTCAGTTTATTGCACTGTATCATGAAACAAAATTTCGATTTGACTTTGCATAATTTTTATTTACTAATACTTTAATTCACTTAATAGGGCTCTCCGCACATGTTTACATAAAGGCCTATTTCCTACTTGCACTTGCCGCAACTCAGGCTCAGCCACATATATAAAAATAAATTGAAGTAATGTTTAGTTGATGGGGCAACGATTAAGAATTGCGTTGGAAGTAATTAGAGGAAATAGTTCAAAAGCCTTCCTTAATCTAAAGAAATGAATATTGAGAAAATTATCACATTCATCGCAGAGCTCGTCAGACAAGTATGAATCATTTGCTTCTATCACAGCACAAATATCAGAAGACGAAAACGGAGGCAGGCTATTGTATACGACAGGACATACCTGTTTTATCCCATTCATCAATGTGGGCGAGGTGAAAAAAGGATAGTGTGAGACATTTGACAATTTCTTGTATCGGCATAACACAAACTAGGTACAAATATGCATATTAGCACGTATATACAATGCAAAATAAACCTACCTCTTTTTACGCATAGATAATTACAGTTGCAACAGATTATATAGAATACAACTCCAGGATACTACACTTGGCAATCAAACTGATCATCGACTTTACTGTCAACATAGAATGGCTATCTTGAATTGCAAACCTTGAAATTCCTGGAGTAGTTGCCTCTAAAAGTGAACCTTCAAATAGTTAATTAATTAATATCAAATGGCAGGCGTTTTGATTGCTATCATTAGCCCTTAAGTTGACTTCAGGCTTCGCAGAGGGGAGGAGGAACAACAAAGTGAAACAAGTCGAGGGGGAGAGGGGGAACAAAAGAGAGTTTCAAAGATGTAAAAGAGACAGACACAAAAGTGGATAAAGGTGAGGTGAGTACTGTGGAATTAGTCGAATATGAAATACAATGGGGTGAGGGAAGTTTGAAGTCAGAAGTCAACTGCCAGTTAATAGACTTTTTCGCCGTATGAGTATAAGTTGCCTAGGGTGCACTACGTGGAGGTAAGTCTATCGCACACCCCAATATAGGCGAAATAATTTACCCAAAACGACCAATCTTGGAAGAGAGGGTGACAACGATATTCAAATCCGTAGAATTATAGTATCGTTAAGTGGTATGAGCCAAGGAGGCTTTTCCTCCTAAAAATCTAAATAATAGTGTGATTTGCACACACAAGACTACTGTAATGCAAAAAAAATATTTGTAGGCTTCGCTTAAAAGACAGTCAAATTGCTAACGACCAAGAGCACTTGCAAAGCCTCACTGATCAATTGAAGGTTGCAGCGAGCGAAGCCGCGGAAATTCAGCAGCGTTGTACTAAGATGGCGGAAGAAAGAGCCAAAGAAATTCAGGAATTTAAGCATCTCCAGGAGCAGCTTAAGGAGGTCTGTTTGGTATGTTTATCACGCAGATTATATAATGTCACTTGCTTCCTTAAATAAGTAGCAGTTTATAATGAAGGACAATCAATTTTAGAAAAATGAAAGGCTTACAGTGGCTCACCACGCAGCTGAAACTGATGCAAGAATTCTCAGAGAAGAAATGGAACTTCGAAAGAGGGTTCAAAATGCTGTAAGTTTTTGCGCATATCTTGCTTATTTATAATAATAAAGAGAATGAGGCCCTACCCTTAACAGAAATGTTTAGCATAAAAAACTGAAACCATTCTTTCCTAAATTCTTCTTTTTGTGGAGTTCTTTATCATTTATTTATTTATTTCAAATGACAGGTGTTTTGATAGTTATCATTATACATTTTGCTGACTTTGGGCTTCAGAGAGAGAAGGAGGAACATCAAAGTGACAAAATGTCGAGAGGAAGGACAAAATAATGATTCACAAATGTGAAAGAGACATACAGACAAACAAAAAGCAGAGAAAAGAAAAGATGAGTACTGTGGAAGAGGTCGAATATGGCATACAGTGGAGTGATGGTAGTTAGAAGCCAGAAATCAACTTCCGGTTAATAGACGTTTTGCCGTATGAGTATACTTTGCCAAGGGTGTACCATGTGGAGGTAAGTCTATCACAAACCTTACCTTCAAATATAACAAATGCCTGTAGCAAAGTTGTGGGACACTCCATCAATGACCAAATAGAAATATTGCTATAGAATATTACTCAGAAATATTTAGCTATTAATGTTCATACGAATCATGGTAGAGTTATCTGATAACTAATCGCTTTTCCAAACATACACTTCGCTATCAATATACGTATTGAATAAACGTATTCCGTGCTACACGTCTATTTCCCTTATAGCTGGGCTATAGCTTAGCTTGTTCTGGGAGTCTAGCTAGATGCTTGAGAATCTGCCATAGAGATTTCTGAGTCGGTCAGGCTTTACTAGAGTAGCAATCCGCTACAAATTAAAATTGCAAAAAGGTTATATGTTCAAAAGTATAATCTAGTTAACTAACAGATAAAAAGTGCATTTATTTATAAATTTTCCTATGATAAAACAAAAATTCAAATCGAAATGACAATTTAAATCAATTAGAATTGAAATGAAATTATTATATATATTAAATAAGTTACACTTTCCCGTTTTTAAGGAACTGCCAACTTTGAAGCACTGCTTCTTTCTTTTAGAATACTAACATATGGGAGTTTTAAAAAAATAGAATGTAAACAAAATATCAATGTAATATTTATGCAAAAAATGTAAACAATATTTTCAAACACAGAATATCCTATTCTGCTCCATNTTTTTTGCCGTATGAGTATACGTTGCCCAGGGTGCACCACGTGGAGGTAAGTATATCACACACCCCAAAAGTAATTCTTGAGGTTCAGCCAAAATTTAGTTGTATACCAATCCGTTACGCGATTATTAGTATTCTTTCGTACCATCCAATTACGTTTTCTAATTTAATATACTTCAATTTTCGCACCCATTTTAAAATAGAAACGCCCTCTCTCTCACACATTTCTAGCCTGGGAAGAGATTGTCACCATCTATGGGCAAAGCAAGGGTAGTAGAAATAAAAAAATGATTCTTTCTAGGATAGAAGGTAACATTCTAATGTGAGATAATCGTTATCGATAGCTACTATTTCAAAATACTGTGGAAAAGGTATCTATCGGGGGTGCGCGATAGACTTACCTCCATGTGGTGCACCCTGGACAACGTATCTTCGTACGGCAAAAAAGTCTATCACTCGGTATTTAAGGGATAATAAAAAATAAATAATAATTTGTGTCAAATGACAGGCGTTTTGATAGATANAAATGCGCTAAAGCTAATTAAAAATTTACATTTGTTTTATTTTAAATATTTTCCATGTGCCAACATTCATTTATATCAAATTGCAGGCGTTTTGGTAGACATCATTAGCCCTTTAGTCGACTTCGGGTTTCACAGAGGGGAGGAGGAACATCAAAGTCTCAAAAAAGTCGAGAGGGGAACAGAAAAACAATTCATAGATGTTAGAGAGACAGACAGACGGAAACAAATGTAAAGATAAAGGTAAGGTAAGGTGAATACTGTGGAAGTGGTAGAATATGACATGTAGTGTGGGTAATGGCAGTTTGAAGTGCCAACTGCCTGTTTATAGACTTTTTGCCGTATGTGAATATGTCGCCCACGTGGAGGTAAGTCTATCTTGCACCCCATTTATTCACGGATAAACGGAAGCATCATAAATTCAGGCATCATTTCTTTTTTCAGAGAATTTTGCGAGAATATTTGCAACCAGACTTTTTGTTTAATTTCTTCCCTTTTCAAAGGCACTAAACCAGACAATGGAATAATAAATTTAGTAAAAAATATGGTCGTTTGATAGCCGCAGGACAAACACGACTTGCTTTAAGCACCACAACTGTATTTACTTAAAGTGTCGTTTCCTGGTTTCAAAGACGAAAATATTTGTCTAAATATGACCTAAGGACTCGCAATAAATTTTAGTTTCTTCTAATTATTCGACCTCTCTACCTTTCATTACCTTAATGAACTTAAAGTATTTATATTTATTTATATCAAATGGCAGGCGTTTTGATAGTTATCATTAGCCCTTTGGTTGACTTCGGGCTTCACAGAGGGGAAGGAACATCAAAGTGGCAAAATGCCAAGAGGGGGGGGGGCAGAATAATGATTCACAGATGTAAAAGAGACAGACAGACAAAAAGGCAGAGAAAAGGTAAGATGAGTGTTGTTAAAATTTGTTCGAATATGACAAACAGTGGGGTCATGATAGTTTGAAGCCAGAAGTCAACTACCGGTTTATAGGCTTTTGCCGTATGAGTATACGTTGCCCAGGGTGCTCCACGTGGAGGTAAGTCTATCGCACACCCCGTACTTTATCATAATGATTAGTTAAAGTCAGGAATGCTTTATTTCATTTAAAGCTAACTTAACAATTAAATTTTTTAAGATGCTGGCACAAAAAATTTCTTAGGCAGTAAATAGAAGGTGGGACTGATCAACCAGGGACCGAGGTTGGCATTCAAAGAGATTGCACGTCCATCTTGTTTAAGCTCATAGGAATGGCTGCTCGATTAAGGGAAGAGAAATAAAATTCTGGCACTCTAAGAAATTGCATTGACATTATACGCCCTGCTCTGAATTTGGCCTAATTGCAGACAATTATTTCATTTTACTAACAACGACTCATTTAAAACCGTTACAGCATTTAAAGTCCTTCTGCTTTTGAAAGAGCAACGTGAACTGTTTTTTGTGAACTTGACAAACTTTTCATAATATACGAATTTGATGGATCATAATTCGTGTACTCTTTATTATATACTTTGTTCTTAGATGCGAATGCCAAAGATCAGTTATTAAACAGTTTAATGTCCATTGTGGGAACTCCATTCTACCAATTTTGCCTTCGGTCAACGTCATCTTCCAATTTCGTCCTTTGAGTACATAACATTCAATTGAATCGTATATTATATTCTTGGTTGGTCTCGCATCGGAGAAAGTCTATGCGAGCAGGGATTTTCACATACCTGGTCATTGCTATTATTCACCAGGTTTCAGCAATGCGTCATCAAGTAATATACTGATAGATGTGCAGCCGGTGCCATCTATCCAGTGTACACGTAGTGCCAACATGTGCCCTTTTAAGAGAAGTGGGGTCTAAATAAGCATTTTTAGAGATTACCTATTTTGGATAAGGCATTTTAACTCTTAAAAGCCAGGATTATTTATTAAAAAAATGCACCCAACCGCACTCACGCGCGTCACCCAGTAGATTGATACCGCCGACGTGATGAGTTTTGGTGGAGCATCAGGCGAAGGCTACCTGGACGTATTGAACACATTTCAAATGACAACAGCGCCTTCTCTTACAGGTCTAATACCAATGGAACTTGTTTTGAAAGAGGACTGAACGGTCCCTAGGGCGGTAAGGCTGGAAAATGTGTCGAGGAATAGTAGTGCCACGATGGCAATAATACAAGTTATTGTCAGAAGTCTATAAATTTTCTACGTAATTTTAATTCTGAAAATTAGCAGTCAAAACTAGTTTTGCAACTGCATCCTTTTTAATATTCAATAACAAGAAATGCGGTTAACAGGTGGTATCAAGAAGGGAGGTTAATTGAAGAAGAATAAGAAGAAGTGTATTTCTCCCCATGAAAAATGAATCTATAACTGATTTGATTGCCGACTAATCCTTCGTCCTCATGATATGAGCCACTACTTTAATAAATTATCGCTCTTTACTGACTCACCAGTAGGCAAGCCCTGTTTTTGCTTAATGAAAACAAGATTCAATGTTCCAACTCCAAACCTTAGAATTTTAGATTATTTTCGGTGCATTAACTCTTAATTGCGTTAAACGTGTTCTAAATTTTCGATTAGAGTACTGCAACTCTTGAATTTAAATTTGAAAGACCACCAATGAAGAATTTATCGTTGTTTACATCGATAAACAAGTCTGTCAATCATTTAGCCCAGATCCAATTCTCCTAAAGTACTTTTGAAGGAGACAGTTGTTTGAGCCACAAGTTTTCCTTCTTCCCAGAATCGGAGAAGTTGTAGCATTCTGGGTAATGTATGGAAGAATCATATCTCGAGGTTTGTGAGGGTTGGTAAAAGTGTTTTGTACCGCTTTACCAGCATATTGTAAAGAGGGAAATTTACAAACGACACGCCCCTATTCTGTTGGGTAAAGACCGGCAAGTTTATTTCTATTAAAATATATGTTACAGGAGATGAAAGAACTTTCTGCATTAGTGCAGCGTGAGTCAACTCAGGAAGCTGTAGCTATCTTTCGGACAGAGATTATGCAGGTTTTGCGAGAAATTCAGCTGGAGTATGAACAACGTTTAGAGGCAGCCCGTGCAGACATTCACTCAGCCTACGAAGTAAAGGCACGTGTGCTTCGAAAAACAGGGCTGACAAGTGGAAATGTGGGGGTGGGAGGTCAGACACCCTCTGATAAAAATCTCCAACAACTTGTCGATGAGCAGAAACAGAAAATCAGAATTCTAGAAGAGAATGTAAGTGCCTATTAAAAGCCTTACTTAAGTTGCCTATTAATATTTTCCAGTAATATAGCACCCCTATTTTGATCTTCGCATTTTTACTCAAGTTGTATTTGAGTACGTGGACACCTTTTTAGTTCCTCTTAATACCTTATCTTCTTTTGGTAAATTTAGTAGGACTTTGAGAGGACGATGGCATAACCAGACTTCTCCACTCAAAATTCTAAGTTGCGACTGCTTTTCAGGAAAAAATTTTAGAAAATAATACTTGGCTGTTTCTTCTAGGTGTAATAAAGGCGTTCACGAACTCATCAATAAAGGTGATAACAGCAATTATGGAAGCTGCTCAGTGCTCCCTTAATGCCTTGAAAAAAATCAGGCACGAACTGAAGAATTACAATGGGGGGAGAATGAAGTAATTGAATTAATTAGTCATATCACAACCCTTCATATTATTTTTAATTGGACAAGGTAAAGCGGATTAAGAAATTAAGAGCTCTTGATCATGAAACCAACGATTTCTGCATGCTAAATATTGTTATTAGGGTCATGTTTCCCTCAAAGGATTCAAGCCTCGAGCAGTTACGAGCATAAATTTATCGGCATGGAAGTTGCCGACACTGGTCCTTGAAATGGAAATATTGTAGTTGTTTCATCGGAGAACAGAAATTCCATAACAAACTTCATTAATTTCGGAAGAATAGATGGGAGTGTCGCTCGCATCTCTGAATATTCAGAGCATATATCATTCAAAACTAATAGATTTCCTCTTTTAACACCGAAGAGAGTAAGACGAAAAACCTAAATTACCATTCTTGCTACCAAGTGATATAGTAGTGAGGCCACTTCATGCCTTTCTATGGAAATGGAAAAACACTATACACCAACTTAATGTCTGTGATACGAACGTGAACTGTGTTTACTTGGGTTGAATATTGGGAATAAAGTGGATAATGAAGTTTAAAAGATTCATAGTGAAATGGTGCTACCGAACAATAGCAGTTCTGTCTTTTTCCAAGCTCTTTGCAAATATATACTCAGACATTTTTGAAATGATCTATTACTTTCAACTCATAAGTATTTAATTTGTAATGAATTTTCATTTAGGAGTATAAAATTCGTACACTAGGGGTAAAAATGGGCACCGATACACCAATACAATTTTTAACACAAACATATACAAATTTTAAAATTTCTCCCAATAGTAAACAACTCGAGAAAACAAATTTAGAATGTTGAAAATTCTTATTTGGAGTCTATTGGGTAATCTTGATTAGCAGTTTTCTGTTTGTAAAGTGAACACCGTGTGAATATGATGGAAAATGTTTAACATCAACATTTGGTTGCTTTTAGAATGTGCCGGCAGTTTTCAGGGAAGTTGATGAAAGATTGATTTTATTGTAGAATGCTCGAATGGAGAGGACAATACGAGAAGTAAGAGGAACTCTTCGGGAACGAGAGAGAGAACTGGAGACAGCTAAAAATCGATTTGAAATCGAGTTGAGTGCCAGTCAAGGCGAACTTCAATGTCTTAAAACTGACTTTGAGGCCCTCCTAGACTCGAAAATCGGTTTGGAACTGGAAATTGCCTCTTATAGACGTCTCATTGAACGCGAGGAGGAAAGGTAGTTCAGAAAATACATTCCTTGAATTTATTAAAAAATTATATTAAATTCCAGAACGATAAAATATATGCTTACTAACGTTCATACTACATACGCATTATAAATGAAATCCGCTAAATTGCAAAAAAGGAACAAAGTGTTCTTGAAAAGATCAATATCCACTTTAAGATGTTATGAATGATTAGATTTATGGTTGCAGAAATATAATCAAGGAGTATTTTTCACGCGAAGATATTAACTCAAATGGATAATCAGCGCCATTTGCGCCTAACCGTTATTTATGTTATCCATTTTTTACTTCAAAATAATGGGCTCTATTATATTCTAAATTCAAATGATTTGACAATGAATAATTTTGATTTTATAGCTCGATAGCCCTCTGCATAGGTTTGTCATTAGTTTAATTAATCATCATCTTAAACTCTATTGAAATTATGCTGTTTTGTTAGCTTCCATTTTTCGTTCACTTTATTTGGCACAAGGAGTGACTCAAACTGACACTCTTTAGAAATGATACGCCACTTCCACCTCCATTTTGCTCGTGACGTTTAACTTCCACAATTGCCTGACCTCCAGATTAATTGGTATTACCTCATCCTGTTTTAGAACATGATCGAGACCTCCATCCCAATATTCACTTCTAATGGTTTGCGGACTAAGAGGGAGTACCACCAAGAACAAAGAGTCAGATTATTGTCGATAGTTGCTGAGCTACCGAGTACATCAATAAATCAAAGTCTAGAAGAAGAGGCTTGACTGAAAAGTACCTCATTGAGTGTCAGGGTGCTGGGATTCGTTGCTATTTATAGGACCTAATGGAATGTCTTAAATGTAGGGTTGACTGATAGGAGCTGAAGATAGAAACCGAAACCTCAGAAGCTTAATTGTAGGATAGTAAGAACCGATGATGCATAATTTATAGGTGTGATGGGGTTAAGGAGTCAGATGGCGATGGTTTAGATTTCCTCACACATGCCAATGTGGTGTGGTGAAGAAGGCCTCAAATATGCTTTTATACTAAAAAATTATATTGATAAATGCGTGTCAAAAGATGTGGAGACGATTAAGTTAACCATCAGCTAATAAACTGAACTTATGCGAAATATTGTGCAGAAAACTTTGCAATATAAAAATAAAACGCCTGTTATTATTTACTTAAACAAATTATTCCCAATTCAGACATTCATTGGACTCCTCTGGTATGTTTATGATTTTCTTTTCTCAAGCTCATAAGCACTTATTTGCACAAAAGCACTAATTGGCAGCACAAATAACATCTAAGAGCAGTTAAATGCCTGTCAGATTTTTAAAAATTTTTCCCCAAATGAAAGCCATTATTTGAATGTAGTCGATTATATTCACTACGCACCGCCACAACAATCCTATTTTTAAAACATTAAATGGATATTTAATTGGGACATTTTGTTTCGAAAGTAGTGCAGGAAATGGCCACCAAGATCCATCAAAACGACTTAAACCAAGCAACATTGAAGGGTACTAGAGTGAGAGAAAGCGAGCACCATACTTCAATTATCAATTCCATCTGAAACAAATTGGGATTAATTTTGAGTATGCTTACTGTTTGAGCTCTTCTTTTTAATGATAATTGCCCTCATGGTGACAAATTGTTCCCCCTGTGAGGTTGTTGCTTAGCCCACGTTCAATTCTCCAGTGTCTTGGTAGATTATAGTAGAGATCTTCCATGATATTCACTCCTCACTATTAAATCCGTCACAATATCAGGTATCTGAGGACATCACAATTTCAATTTCAAATCGCTCTATAAACAACTAAGGATTAGTCGTCGATTTTTGCTTCATTCTTATAGCTGCATAATTGTTAATAGACTCAATCGAAGATTCACATTATCCTAACTTTAAAAATTAAATAATTATTAAGCTTTGCCAATAAGCGTATACATTTTATAAGATAGGATTCTAACGGTCTGAAAATGTGCGGAGCTTAGCGCTTTTCCTGAGGAAAAGAACAAAGAAATATAGTGGATTGATTTAGTCGATGCTATCGGGTTAAAGTTAGGAAGTGAGCGTCTGGTCCCACTAGAATCTGATTTCAATTATTTAGGATGCCTCTCATCCACTTTGTGTAAAGTTCTTCTAATTTTCCCCATTGAAGTTGTTCAAAAAAAATTCCACAGAATTAAATAAAATGTTTGCTTTCACAGAGTCCAAGTTTTATCATTAAAAACGGAAAAAAGGAAAGAATTGACATCTTAGTTCCAAATTTTCCCATTTTTATTTTTAATTGTCTATGATCGAGCTCAATATTTATTGATGCTATCATCAGTTCATGGCGGTACGCCATTGAAACTTTACTTCTATCATTAAAAGTAAAAACGCTTTTGTATTTTAATTAAAACTTACAGATACCTTAAGGTTTCTTTTTATTCACAGCACACCCTCTTTTATCGAAGATAATAACGAGGCGAAAATCCACTTCCCCTCATTTCGTAAATAAGTTTTTGCTATTTTCTAAGTTTTGGTTTTTATTAACTTTCGCCACTGGGGAGTGCTACAATTTGCCCTAAATGCGAAATGTTATAAAAATATGCTCTTAGAGAACTACATATTTGCTATTAAAAGATTAAAGGTATGCTAAACGTCTTGCATTTTCAAAGACTTCGGAAAACTTCGTCTAGAACCACCGAATTCTAAGCCAAGGTTCTACAGTCACACAAGAAGCTCCAAAGGCAACGTCTGTATCATTGAATGTGCTGTCGATGGTACCTCAGTAACAATAGCAAATATTGGGTCGCAGGTAAGTATCACACGAACTTGTTTACACCTTCGATTTATAAACTAAACAAAACCTGCATTTGACCACATTTACTAATAATGAGCAATTTGTGTAGTTTCGCAAAAATTTATTTGACTTAGACTAGTTGATATAACCATTATCATGAGGCATCTTAGTGAAGGGAAGTTGAATATTTTGGGCTATTATTGGAAAGAGTGATTAAAATTAATTCAGGTCCAAAGATATTTTAACTCTTTTTTGCCAAATGTTCATCCTGAATATGTAAAAATGGTGAGAAATGGCGAAAGATATTGGCCAATGGAACGTGACCCAACGTTTCAGCGTTCAAAGCTTAGAATTTAATCAATAAATTCTTGAGTATAATATTTCCTAGCGATAACACAAAGAGTTTATAATTCAAACAGATTCAATTGATAGGATTATCAGTTTATCTCGTATGGAAATGTAGGAGCAACAAATAGGCGTTAATTAATGTTGTCTGATAATAAGGGAACACATAATTACCCGTAATTACCCATTATGGTAACAAAAGAAGAGAGAGAGGTAGTTATTAATTAAAAACAAGATAAAATTTACAATAAAAATATAATCTAACACAAATGCTCCCACGAGTTCGGTAATAATAATGTGGTGGTTAAAACGATGATGACGAAAATAAGTGATCAGAGTGAGATCAGCACCCTATTCCTCACCCCCCCCCCTCACTTCTGATATGATTATCTAAAGACAAAATTAAGGACAATTGTGCCAGAATTTTAAGTACTAATTAGCAATGAAACCATTTGACTGTGTTTTACCGGCGGACGTGGAGATTTTTATGGTCAATCCGAATTTAAATATTTTCACGAAATACGAAATGGAGGGTAAGTAGACATCTGGAAAAATGTCTATATGAACAATATCTTCAGATCAGAGCTTTATAACCAGAACGGGAATGTATAAAAGCCAAAATTAGAATGTCTTAAAACAAGATAGTTTAAAGCGCTTTCCGGGTTCACTGTCGTAGGCGGATTGCTACACTGATAAAGCATTGACTAACTCAGAAATCTCTGTGGCAGATTCTCCTATATCTGGTTAGACCCCCAGAACTAGGTAAGCTACAGCCTAGTTATAGAGAAAACAGGCATATCACATGGAACACGCTTATTTGGGACATATCGTTGTGAAAGTGTACTTGCCGGAAGGTTAGTCATATTTCACTTGGTGGATTAGATAAAACAAACGAAGGCTTTTGATTGGCCTATTGGCTGTGCGCATGCGATTACTTATTAGGCGATGATGTGTCTCACACTATTTCGGAAAAAAAAGCTTTTGACATTCGTTGTTTGAGTATGATTGACTCTCGCCTGCCGTTGAATACATCTTAGTTGTTATTAAAGCAGCTGTCATTGCCACGATATACCCAAATTCGATCAAGATAGAGCTTGTTCTCTCGGGGATCTTTCGGGTTTTTGTGCGTAGTTCCCAAAATATCATAATAGTTTATCCAGTAATGCCAGTGATCTTGAAATTCACTTTCTTTTGCATAGTGAAAATCTTTAAGCGATCTATTTATAAATTGACTTAAGAGTATAGCAAGATTCACACATGAATTGTAAGGTAATAATTTTACTAAAAGTAGTAGTAAGCAACAAAAGGTTGCTGTTGGGGATGGATGTATGGGCTTAATGCACCAGCGACTGAACATTTGGAACATAAAGGCAAAACGAAAGAAACTTAAAAGTACCTAAGATATGTCTCCAATATTATGAAGTATACTAATACCTCAAAGTTAATCAGATCCCACAATACCTGAATAAAGACCAAGAACTT